TAATATTTAATTAGCATGAAATAAATAAAATAATAATAGGTTTTCTTAGTACGTAATACTTTTTGTGTCTATATATAACACCACTAACACGCAAAAAATTACTAATATAATATTTTAATAAGTGGGAACAAACTTTAGAACATAATATTTCCATTTTCATTGGTCAATGAATAGAAAATATTTCAGAACAAAAGAAAATATTTTTGAAATATTATTTAAATGTTATTTCAAAAAGATTTGTTTCTAATATTTATTTAACATGAAGCACATAAATTAAGAATACTTTTTCATAGTACCAAAACTTTTTGTATTTATATATAACACCATTAACGCCCAAAACGTTATTAATATATTATTTTTAATAAGTGTGAACAAACTTTAGAACATATTATCTCAATTTTCATTGGTCAATTAACGGTGAATATTTCAAAGCAAAAAGAAATATTTCTTAAATATTAGTTAAATGTTATTTAGAAAATATTGGTTTCTGATATTTAATTAGCATGAAACAAATACATACAATAAATACATATACAAACAATAAATATTTGATTTAAATGTCAAATAAATATTTACCTGAAATATTTTTATAATATATAAGAATCTGTCGCGTCAACCTATATTAAATATCGCAAAAAAATATTTCGTAAATATCTGATTTAAATGTAATATATGTATTTTTAAATAATATTTCTCAAATATCTGATTTAAATGTCAAAGAAATATTGTTACAATATTCAAGAATCTGTCGGTTCAACCTACATTAAATATTGCAAAAAAATATTACTGCAATATTTGTGTGCTATCTGGGTTATTGTCTCTATTTATCAATTAAAATACGTTTCGGTGTATTTTTCCACCATCATCAGTTTCTATGTGTAGCGTTGTTGCTACTTTAAGCCTTGGCATACATTTTTATGAGACAATTTTTATAGAGACAATAAATGACTGAAACCCAGGAATTAATTTTGATTTGGAATTAAACTTATTAAATTCATCACTAACTAAAAATGAGCTTACAAATATAAACTTGAAAGTTGCTCTGAACCCAATCTGATGCTGATTGATTATAAAAAAAGCATTAAAATGTTCTGAACTCCAGGATAACTCCAGTGGTTTTGATGTTCTTCCTATACTCAGTGTACCTGTCGAAACACGTGGGAAATGGGCCAATCTTTCCGCTGGTTTACGACACTTTCAACAACCCGTGCAAGAAGCATTGGTGGGCGGTTTTCCTCTACATCCAGAACTACTACAATCGAGACGAAATTGTACGTGTTCTGAGCGGAAATTTGCCTCTCAAACAAAATCCAACTCAAGTGGACGCAACTCTGGAATCTTTCCCTGCTGTAAAAATGATTTTTCTGTTTAGTGTTGGGTGCATCTTTGGTACCTTTCGGCCGATTGGCAGCTCTTTTTGGCAGCCCCGCTGGTTCTAATTCCGATGGCCTGGCTGCTCAAACGCGGCTTTAAACTCGTGTTTACCGTCATGGCTATTCTTAATGTGTTTTTTGTGCTTTTGGCCATTTTCGTCAAACTGGTCTTTCCGAATTTCGATCCGTAAGTGGCGGTTTAAAGGGGAAACTTTCCCTAATAGGCTAAAACCCGTTTTTTGTAGGGAACATCTGGAATATGATGCTCATTCCAAGTTGGTCACTTACTTTATGGGAGCGATGTTTGGCATTTGTTTGCGATGCCATCTCAATAAACCATATGTTTTTAGAAGGGTAAGTATTTAGTGTATTTGAATAGCAGTAATGGTAAGTAATGGAGAACAGTTCATACGTTTTGCAAGGTGACTTTAAACAGCTTTTATTGTTCATACGAAGATTTTCGGGCTGTTGGGTTCGTTTTGGATGACACTCTGAAGATGCAAAGAACTCGAGCATGCGCAACAGAAATAAATTACTTTCCAGGACGGCATAAAAACCCGAAAACGCCCCATCTGATTTGTAGTGATTTTTCCGATTTTTTTGGTGAATATTTCTCTCTCAATTAGTCATGATGTGTATTTTCGCCTCAACTTGATTCTTCCAGGTCGTAAATGATGAATCCGTTGGTGTTTCCGCACCGGGATACCGATGGAATTGTTTCTGATCCTTTTTGCGGACACAAATAAAATCAGTTTTAATGCTCTGTTCTGAGTATGAGCAAGGGAAATCTATGAATGGATCAACCAGTTTTGAAATGAAAACAAATAAACAAAAACTCATTAGAGCTTAAAGTTACAACAATACATAAAGACGTTCGAGATTTTCAAGCAAAATCGTCCAAAATCTATGAATTTCAATCTTGCCATTCAGAAAATTTGGACAGTCCAAATTGGAGAAACAGTCCAAATTGTTATGTTTGAACTTTTAAGTTCAAAGGAATGTTTGTTACCGTTTCATCATTTGAAAAGGTTCCTATTTTGCTTTCCCACAGATCAAGTACGGAAATCCAATGATAACTAATATACGTTATCAAAGAAACGTTTTTTTTATTTTCCGCAAATTTATGTTATATTTCATTTGCAAAGAAACCAAACACAACAGACTGTTGAGTTTTGTAAAAAATATAAGTTGCCTTTAGCTTCATTGCGAATTATTCAATAGATATTTTTGTTTCGTTTGCGTCCTTTGAACGCGTACATTTTCAGTTTTACGTATTTCCATCATTTTCAAGCGGCTTTTTTTTTGAAATACACGTTTTCTAACTGTGACTTGTTCCATATTCAATTGTTTTTTATCTACTTCTGTTTTTTATTTGCATTAAATTCGCTTCTACCATACACATATTTATGAAAAAACATATTTTTTAGGGCTGCAACCTAATAATGTGGGCTATTTCCCTATCAATGCTGTTCGCAGCCACTTTGGTCCTTCATGAGGTGAACATCAATCACATCGAGTCTCACACAGTTAAATCAATCACCGATGTACTAATTAAACCGTTTTGGGCTTTGGGCCTGGCTTTTGTTATTTATGCCTGCACAAGTGGATATGGAGGTGAGAAACAGATAGTTGGGTTTCTTAATTTTTTTTAAACCAGTTTAATCTGCGGTTTCCAACCCGATTCTCTCAATTTTTTTTCGGTAATAGCGGCAATTGGGAAAACAAGAAAACCAAAACTTACATCAAAATCCACTAATCGCAGCTTTAAAATTAAACAATAAAATTCAAAAACCCTTGAGAGAGTCAACATGGGCTGCACCTGTTTCTGCCTACACAAGTAAAAAAAACGCAGAAAAATCCCTGTTCTATGAATGTATAAAATTGGGAAAAAAACCTGCAAAGAAACCCCAAGTTTATTGCGAATTATACCGACTTTCTGACTTGAAACTTAATAAACTAGTGGGTATTTTGGAGGGCAAAGTTCTCGTTCCAGCCGTTTACTTTAACGCAAAAAAGCGTCTGCTTGAGGAGGAGCTTAAAACATTCCCGCTCTATTATTAAATTCCGCTTCTTTAAGGTTTAAATTTCACTTTATTGTAGGCATAGTTAACTGGCTGTTAACTGCCGGATGGATGCAGGTCTTGAGCAAGTTAACATTTTGCATGTACATTACCCATATGCCAGTGATCTTCTTATGGATCTCCATAAGACGAACCAGGGATCATTTCACTGACTTTACTTTGGTAAGAAACATTTACGCCCCCAGTTGTGCGCGGTAAGCAAAACAGTTTTTTTTTAAGTTTTTCTATTGGTGCGGACACCTTATCAGCACCATTATAATCTCGGTCATTTGGACGCTGATGTTCGAGTCGCCTTTGATCACCATCGAACGGGTTCTGTTGGGCGGAGGAAAAAAGCCGAAGTCTTCACCCAAAGAAGGTAAATATTTTAAGGAAACGACGCTAGAAATGCGATTTTTGTTCAATCGCAATGTTGCAAATTTGCAACTGTTTTTATTTTTTTCTTTAATCACCGGGAAAACTGGTCATTTGATTTTTCAAAAGCATTCAACACTTTATATTGCGAGCTTTTAATTGATATTTCGATCAAAATTGTTCAACTCCCAGTTTAGTAACGAAATTGCTTTTTTTCAGATATACCCAAAGGAAAAATCGTCATTCTCCATCAGAAACCCATCGAGAATGGATACATATAGGGAAGCATATGTAATTTTTATTTATTTTAGCAATTGTATGTATACAGGGTTATTCACGCTATACGGCACCGAAGTTTGCGGCTAGCCCGTTTGTTTTTTGCAAAGTATTATTTGATGAATCGACAGACGCCTATCGGGTGCACATTTTAAAAATGTTTTTGTAATGTA